GACTGGAAGGCAGACAAAGTGACGTTGCAGCGGTACAGAGACGCTTCTGCTGAGGTGAGGGTTTAGGGTTTAGGGTTTAGGGTTTAGGGTTTATAATCGAGGGTTTAGGGTTTAGCAGCAAGGGTATCTCTTCCCTGTACGCTTCACCGATTGAGCGTTCATGTGTCTAGGGTTTAGGGTTTAGGGTTTAGGGTTTAGGGTTTAGGGTTTGTGTTTCAGGTGTTATCTTTGTTACTAGATTACTGCCAGCTAGTGGAGAAAGCCTCCATAGATGAGGTGTATGCGGACCTCACCCCCCACGCCGCGGCTCTCGTCCTCTCCCTCATCAATGAGGGGCCCCCCTCAGACACAGAAGACGGGGGGGGCCCCCAACCCACTCCGCAGGGGGGCCCCCAACCGACTCCGCAGGGGGGCCCCCAACCCAGTCCTCAGGGGGCCCCCCAACCCAGTCCTCAGGGGGGCCCCGAAGCCTGTCCTCAGGGGGGCCCCGAAGCCAGTCCTCAGGGGGGCCCCCAAGCCAGTCCTCAGGGGGGCCCCCAATACAGTCCTCAGGGGGGCCCCCAACCCGCTTCTCAGGGGGGCCCCCAACCCACAGTACCGTCCGTCCCCGCAGAGGGGCCCCCACGGATTACATTAGGCACTTCGCATGAGGCAGCCCCTGAGGGGGCCGCTGAGGGGGCCCCTGAGGGGCCCCCTGCTGTAGCCACCGAGGGGCCCCCTGCTGTATCCACTGAGGGGCCCCCTGCTGTAGCCCCCGAGGGGCCCCCTGCGGTAGCCTCTGAGGGGCCCCCTGCGGTATTCCCTGAGGGGGCCCCCGAGGGGCCCCCTGCAGTAGGCCCTGAGGGGGCCCCTGAGCGGGCTGCTGAGGGGGCCCCTGAAGCGGCCCTTGAGGGGGCCCCTAAAGGAGGGTCTTGTGGAGGGGCCCCCTCCACTCTATCAACTGCGTCAGATGCCCAGTTAGAGCGTAGGGGGCCCCCCGATACCCCTGAGGCCCCTGGGGCCTCGGGGCCCCCTGGGGGCCCCTCTGGGGGCCCCTCTGTTTCTAGTGGTTTGTCTTACAGCCCCTCGCCTCTGGGTACTGGTGAGGGGGGGCCCCCAAGCGAGCCCAATGCCGGTTCTTTGTCTCCTCACTGCAGCAGTGAACCAGCAGGGGGCCCCCCTTCCTCCCCGTGGAAGGGTACAGGAGAAAGAGGAGACGCAGGGGGGGGCCCCCCCTTGGGGCCCCCTGCCCCTGAGCCTTCCCCGTCTCCTGGGGGCCCTTCCTGTGTACCCTCATCTCCCCTGGGGGCCCCCACGGGGGGCCCCCAGGGCCCCCAAAGGGGCCCCCGTCAGGAGCATCCGTCAGAGGCCCCTGGT